ATCTCACTCTGTATGGACAGCAAGATGTCATCTCAGTTAGGTGTCCATACGCTGTAAGATCTCTCACCATGTTTCTTAGCATGTCATGCATCCTCTCACTGTATGGACAGCAAAATGTCATCTCAGTTAGGTGTCCATACGCTGTAAGATCTCTCGCCATGTTTCTTAGCATGTCGTACTATCTCACGTTGTATGGACAGCAAGATGTCATCTCAGTTAGGTGTCCATACGCTGTAAGATCTTTCACCGTGTTTCTTAGAATGTTATGCTATCTCACATTGTATGAACAGCAAGATGTCATCTCAGTTAGGTGTCCATACGCTGTAAGATCTTTCACCATGTTTCTTAGAATGTTATGCTATCTCACACTGTATGGACAGCAAGATGTCATCTCAGTTAGGTGTCCATACGCTGTAAGATCTCTCACCATGTTTCTTAGAATGTTATGCTATCTCACATTGTATGAACAGCAAGATGTCATCCCAGTAATAGGTGTCCATACGCTGTAAGATCTTTCACCATGTTTCTTAGAATGTTATGCTATCTCACACTGTATGGACAGCAAGATGTCATCTCAGTTAGGTGTCCATACGCTGTAAGATCTCTCACCATGTTTCTTAGAATGTTATGCTATCTCACATTGTATGAACAGCAAGATGTCATCCCAGTTAGGTGTCCATACGCTGTAAGATCTTTCACCATGTTTCTTAGAATGTTATGCTATCTCACACTGTATGGACAGCAAGATGTCATCTCAGTTAGGTGTCCATACGCTGTAAGATCTCTCACCATGTTTCTTAGCATGTGATACTATCTCACATTGTATAGACAGCAAGATGTCATCTCAGTTAGGTGTCCACAGGCCGTGACATCTCTGTCCATGTTTCTTAGCATGTCATACTATCTCACATTGTATGGACAGCAAGATGTCATCTCAGTTAGGTGTCCACACGCCGTGACATCTCTGTCCATGTTTCTTAGCATGTTATGCTATCTCACACTGTACGTACGTACAGCAATATGTCATCGCAGTTAGGTGTCCATATGCTGTAAGATCTCTCACCATGTTTCTTAGCATGTCATGCTATATCACACTGTATGGACAGCAAGATGTCATCTCAGTTAGGTGTCCATACGCTGTAAGATCTCTCACCATCTTTCTTAGAATGTCATGCTACCTCACACTGTATGTACAGCAAGATGTCATCTCAGTTAGGTGTCCATACGCCGTGACATCTCTGTCCATGTTTTTTAGCATCTTATGCTATCTCACACTGTACGTACCGACAGCAAGTTGTCATCTCAGTTAGGTTTCCACACGTCGTGACATCTCTGTCCATGTTTCTTAGCATGTTATGCTATCTCACACTGTACGTACGGACAGCAATATGTCATCGCAGTTAGGTGTCCATACGCTGTAAGATCTCCCACCATGTTTCTTAGCATGTCATACTAACTCACATTGTATAGACAGCAAGATGTCATCTCAGTTAGGTGTCCACAGGCCGTGACATCTCTGTCCATGTTTCTTAGCATGTCATACTATCTCACATTGTATGAACAGCAAGATGTCATCCCAGTTAGGTGTCCATACGCTGTAAGATCTTTCACCATGTTTCTTAGAATGTTATGCTATCTCACACTGTATGGACAGCAAGATGTCATCTCAGTTAGGTGTCCATACGCTGTAAGATCTCTCACCATGTTTCTTAGCATGTGATACTATCTCACATTGTATAGACAGCAAGATGTCATCTCAGTTAGGTGTCCACAGGCCGTGACATCTCTGTCCATGTTTCTTAGCATGTCATACTATCTCACATTGTATGGACAGCAAGATGTCATCTCAGTTAGGTGTCCATACGCTGTAAGATCTCTCACCATCTTTCTTAGAATGTCATGCTACCTCACACTGTATGGACAGCAAGATGTCATCTCAGTTAGGTGTCCACACCCCGATACATCTCTGTCCATGTTTCTTTATAGCATGTTATGCTATCTCACACTGTATCAACAGCAAGATGTCATCTCAGTTAGGTGTCCATACGCCGTGACATCTCTGTCCATGTTTTTTAGCATCTTATGCTATCTCACACTGTACGTACGGACAGCAATATGTCATCGCAGTTAGGTGTCCATACGCTGTAAGATCTCCCACCATGTTTCTTAGCATGTCATACTAACTCACATTGTATGGACAGCAAGATGTCATCTCAGTTAGGTGTCCACACGCCGTGACATCTCTGTCCATGGATCTTAGCATGTCATGTTATCTAACACTGTATGGACAGCAAGGTGTCATCTTAGTTAGGTGTCCATACGCTGTAGGATCTCTCACCATGTTTCTCAGCATGTCATGTTATCTCAGTTAGGTGTTCGAACGCCATAACATCTCTTTCCATGTTCCTTAGCATGCAATGTTATCTCACATTGAATGGAAAGCAAGATGTCATCGCAGTTAGCTGTCAAATCTTTTATAAATAAAACCACGATCGAGCCTTAAAGGGATCCGGTAACTTTGTCTCAGATTCTGAAACAAAATTCTGGATTTAGCTCATGATGCAATGATAATTATAAACCTTTAGGTCAGTCAGGAACCCCATGACTTTTACAAGCCGATCGCCTGTCTGATTATCAAGATATTTATGATTGGAATTACAAATTTTGAAAACCGTTCGCCTGACGGTTTTCATAACACTACAGTCTATTGGGGAAAACGAGTATGGTAAAACCGGTCACTCAAAGATTTTTACTTTTTTGAGGCACTTCTTGATCATTTTGAAGCGCAATTTTTTTAGGGCTTCAATATTACACCATATCACGGACACTGATAACACGTAGGGCCGTGTATCTCATATTTAACATTGTTAAACGATCCCTTTAAGACACTACGACATAAACGATTTACAAAAATGCAAAATACACTGTAGATTGCAGACTAATGAACGTTCTCTCCGATGTAAATCTTTCTCTTTTTTCTATGTCCATTGCTATTAGGCCTTTACATGCATTGAAGCTTATCTTTGTTTAGATTATCTTTTCCTCCTCTGTCTATCTTTCTCTATTCGTTCTCAGAACAAGATTAATTCTGCCTGTTACTTTTCCCTTTTCCTTCTCTTACATGCTCTTTCCCTTTGTCTTTCTTGCGAATTATCATCGTCTCGATCATTGACTTCTATTCCTTCCTTCCCCCCTCTCTCTCTCTCTCTCTCGAATACCTACTCTCTTTCGAAATTAATATGCAACCCATGAAAAAAGAGTGAACTTGGGTTTAACTGTAAAAATATATGACAGGTCAAGCAACTAACATTCAAGCATTGATCAAACAAATGATCATACTATAGTTTCCTGTTTTGCAGTTCACCTGTATATGGCTTGTAATGAAAATAAGTACTGCTTTAAAAATAAACGAGTAGTACATTTAAAAAGATATGATAAACATACTAAACACTACATAACTCATACATATGTAAAATCTCAGTCGCACGGACAATAGCAACACAAGACCGACCCCAGACTGCACCAAATAATAGTCACGTGACCCCGAATGTCAAAAATCAGATCGGTGTGTAGTCGGTTTGAACCCGTCACGTGACATCATTGAGGTATTATTGGCTCTACAGAGAATACAAATGAGCAATTGAGCTCATATTAAATTAACTAGCAATGAACCTGTTGTGCTATTTAATTTTTCCCTTAACATGTTCCAATTATTGTAAACTTTAATTCATACATAAATGAATATTGCATTTCGCAATCAGGCTGATGGTCATTAATATAAAATACACGAAAAACCTTTTTAATACCAGTGCAAATGTATAAAATACACCTACACTCATATAAATATATGATGCATCTTGTGCAAATCAAATATACATTCATGAACACTTATATTGATTGTCACTAATCTACAGAAATGACAGAAGATAACTGTCATCTTGTTGAATACCTGAGATAATCTAAACAGAGCGACTGAACTTTTGATACCACTACAGATAAAGATGAGTGCTGGTAAATTAAATTTGCCTGTATGACATGTACGAGAGAAACTGTCCGGAAGCAATTGAAACTGTCTATTAAGTTATCGGGAAATGTTGACTATGTAGTATATAACATAGGAGTAATTGTTTGGGCCAAATTATGTAGGCTTATTTATGATATTTAGGAATCATTTAAATGATACTGACACACTGATATCAATCTTGCTGAAAATCACAACCAGTGAAAACCACTGCACACAGATATATTATTCTAGCAATGTTTCAGACTTATTTTTGCTATTTTGCTAGTCCAAAACAACCCATTAATGTTAACAATGAAAAGAAACAACTTCGACAGTTTTCCACGAAATGCAGTAGCACAAACAGAACTCTTACAGTAACCTTAACACGTTATTTTTTCAAATGAATCATATTTCCATGCAATATGGCCTACATATTCTATTTGCTATCATCTTTCAGATCATCAGCTCATGAGACAGACATGAACAACATTTGTATGTTTATAGTTCTAAAGCATGATATATTTTATAAGAGAGGAAGTGGTTAAATATTATTTCAGGCGAATTTCGCATTATAATAAGTGTGGCCAGGCAGGTGAGACATCTTGTAGCATTAAAAACGCAATAGTTTTGAAATCAATTTATGACGGAAAAAGGGAAGAGAATGAGAGAAATGGAAGAAGATAAAGGAGGAGTAGTGGAGAAGGAAGGGGTGAAATATAAGTGTGGTTATCGTCTTTTACCCTTCCAAACATAGTTATAGAGGCAAATAAATGTCTTACTCTTATTAGTAGTACTTCGGATTCTACTAAAAGTACTCCAACTAAAGATCTCCAACGCAATGTATCCATAACTGAAAAACTATGAGTCGCCCTCTATAGATAAAAATGATGAATACCGCTATGACGCTCAAAGGTGCAATAACGATGCGCACGCACTCTCTGTGGAAAAACCCACATCTATTAATAGGCCATAACTATATAGGATACACAAACTGCATTTTATTCACAGACGATCTACTGAAGTATGAGTTTAGCATTGTAATCACATTTGTATTGATGTATACACTTGTATAGAATCTCAGTATTTTCGATCAAAGTTATTCGCACCTCGCAGAACTGCATGCAGTATAGGACGCAATCTACTATACTACAGTACGTCACTGCATTGCATATACAAAGTTTGTGCTTGCAGAAACTGACTGCTGGCTTCTATAGTACACGTCAGCTGATCACAAATTAAAGTTTTAATGGACATTGGATATATGCGTAGAATGAGCTCGTGTTTGTAATAAGCCAGAAATCCGATATTTGTACCAATGGCTGAGAAGACTGAGAAAGAGAAAGCTCCAAGCTCTTTAGAGAACCTGACGTGTCCATTATGTCTTGATATCTTCGACGAAGCAACGATCCTGACTTCATGCAGACACACCTTCTGTCGGAAATGTCTCAAGAACTATGACCTTTCCCACCAGGATCTCGATCACATGATCTGTCCTCTTTGCAGAAAGATCACCAAGTTGTCTGTAAACCGTGTCGATGATTTCCTCACCCATGTGACTGTCAACGGACTTGTAGACAATTACCACGCCAAGTGTGGGGGGATGAATGCTGTCCTTGAGATGCGTCCAAAATGCACTGCTTCCAAGTTTCATCAAGAATCAGATGCTGTATCATTCTGTAAAACGTGTAATAATTACATGTGCACTGATTGCGACTGCAGCCATGCGCTGCTGACATCAGTCTTTGAAGGTCATGAGATTGTATCCATACAGGATATCATCGACGGGAAGGTCAGCATAGGTCATCTATCTGAGAAGTGCTGCATCCACAAACAAGAGAACAAAGATATGTTTTGTGAGGATTGTAAGGTTCATGTCTGTCACAAGTGCGTGATCGTCGGTCATCAAAATCACAACATCAAGAATCAGGATGACTTCGAGCAGCAGTTACGTCTTAAGGTAAGTCGGTATTTGACAAAAAATACTTGCGTTTGGCTAAGGCCTGACAAATTTACTCATACAATTCAGATAAGGGAAGATATCGTAGGCGCCGGAAGAGGCGAGAAGAGAGGTTGATGTCCCGCATTATTCAAAATGTGGAAAAATTCGATTCTGGCCCACCCCGAAGGACAAATAAAGGAAAATTACATTTAGTTCCTTTGCAACTTAATAAGATTTCAAGTGCCCTGAAAAGTAACTCTCAGCATCCTAAAATTAAAATTTTCTCCAAGCGGTCGCTACATACTATCCTTCAAATATATAGACTCTGTGTTTATTATGTTTGTAAAAACTGTCTTTAATAAAGACACGGCGAGCATGGGAGAAGGTATTCCTATCTATCAAAGTGTTGAGGCAAAATGAGATCCACCCCTCTCCCCTTTACAATCAGCCCATAGTATCATTATTCGTATTATTATCATTAAACTGCTTTTGTTATCGTTATTACTATATGTATCATTTTTGAAAACTTTTTGAAAATTTCTATTTTTGTGTGTATATTGAAAACAAAAAATATGTATCATAATTATTTAAGTTATTATTTTTATCATGATGATATTAATAATTATTATGATAATATTATTACTATTTGGCTTATATCCATTATGTTTATCTGATATTACTGCTTTCATACAAATGGACTTATTACAATGACTGGATTTCCTTTTAACCCTAATAAGCCCGGGGGAGGGGTTGGGGGCATAATACCCCCCCCCCTGTCGAATTTTTGCCGCTGCATCAAAACCCCTGAACTTCTGGCGCTGAAATTTCATGAGTTTTCCCCTATATCTCCCGCACATTTTGATATCAAATTTGTCATGGGCAGACCTATGGTTCGGGTGTTAGGTGACGGAATATCATCACATGTCAATCAAAATATGTAATTCTCACAAAATGTGCGTGTGTTAGTATATTGCAGTTATTTGATCTTTATCAAAATCAATATCATGAGTGATTTATTTTCATGTTAAGCAGTCATACATTCATGCTTATACTTGTTTAGTACTGGCCAAACATTTTTTTAAATTCACATAATGAAATACATAAGAAATTAAAACCAATAGTATAAATAAGAAATTGGTAATTATAAATATAAAAGAAACTGACGCGTTTCACCCTCAAAATATTGTACAAACATATTTGTACCTGCATGTGTGTGTTTATTTGTATGTTTGTATTTATTACAAACTATTATATTTCGATTGATAAATGATATTACTCAACTAAAACAGCAACTTCAAATCAAATCAAATCTGCCCATGGATGCATTGTTCAAAATCACGCACTTTTTGAAAATTTCTATTTTTTGTGTGCATATTGTCATAAAAATATTAATAAAGACATGAAAAAAATAAATATAAAAGAAAATAAACATCACCATCTTATCTAATATACTTCAATCTATCACCATGCTAACGTTCACATTAATTGGACATTCCTAGGCCGAGATCTTAGGGAGGGGGGCGTATTAAGACCTCAAATAGCCCAGCCTTTTTAGGGTTAAGAAAGCAGAAGAAAAAAACAATGTATTCAATTCCTCTGTCCTCATATGATATATGATGATGAGCGTGTGTGTGTGTTTGGGGAGGGGGGGGGGGGGGTTGGTTGATCTTACTTTTGTGAAACTTCAGGCGCGGGGTTTTGTTTCATTTTCTGCTCCATGTAATTATCATACATCTCATGCTAGAAAAAAGATCTTTTCACTTCTCTATTATTTATTTTATTTAGGTGAACGACCTTGTCCAGCGATGTGCCGCTAAGAAGACAGAACTGGAGAAGAACATTCAGAATGTTGAAGTACAACGCCAGGAAGTATACACTGCCGTGCAGAAACTACTGGACGATGTCAGTCAAGCCTATATCATCAAGGCCAAAGTGCTTGAAGAAAACCATCAAAGTCTCATCGAGCAGATCAATGCAGTAAAGTGGAGTTTCGATGACGACCTCAGCGTCTTGAAATCCAAGGATCGACAGAGGATTAAGAGTATTTGTAGTTCAATAGCACTGGTATCTAATGACAGACTGGGTCGTCTTGAGACAGACAGTCTGTCTGCTCATACCTTGCTCTGTGAGGAGCTGGATGACATGCTGAAGGAGGCTACTGATCACACTTCTGCTGCAGCCATTACGAAGAAAGGACATAAGAAGAGGTTCAAGCCTGCAGATGATACTCATCTGGACCTCGGTAGCATCTCAGAATCAGATCCCAAGTTGCAAGTCATTCAGTGTGTAGATCTACGGGGAAAGATGAATGGTATGACCAAGTACTCTGATGACAGTGTGGCTATCGCATATAGAGGTACACAGGGTATAGATATAATTGATTCAGCTGGTAAACAGGAGCAGTATACAAACATACCAAGTAACATTGGGTGTTATGATCTTGTGTTTCAACAAGACAGGTCATTATGCATATCGACGGGTAGCAAAGAAACACACATATATTCTCCCAATGGATCCAGGAAATCAACCATCCACGTGGAAGACAATATCTATTTTCTCAAACTAAACAGAAGTCCATCAAATGAAATCCTCATCGCTAACGCTGGGAAGCAAATATATGTCTATGACCCGACTGGATCCGCTCTCAAACGCACTGTTTCAACAAAACACAACATTACGAGGCAGGTATCTGCCACCAGGTCAGGTTTGATCGTCACGAGTTCATGTTATTTCACCAATCCAAGCGTGGTGACGGTCTATGACAGGGATGGTAATGCTGGTAATTCTCTACAAGCTCCAAGCGGTGTCCAGCTGTATGCTGCCGTGGATGAGCAGGATAGGGTGTATGTAGCGAGTGTTGATTGTAAGAATGGTGACGTAGTGATCAGGCTCTATGACCTTGATGGTCTGAACCTGAAGGAGAGAGTGGAGTTCATTGTTCTTAATCTGACGCTTAAAAATAGTTGGTGCTACTTGGTTTCCCTCTCTCCAGACATGCTCGCGTTTGCTTGTTACAAGAAGTTGTATTTTATCAAAGTAACACTGTAATCCATCTCACTCTCTTTATTATCATTATTGGTGTTGTGTATACCTCTCTGCTCCAGCTCTACTCTAATATGGGCCTATAATTAACGTGTCATATCATATTGTTTAATTATGTTTTATAGTGCCTGAATACCGTTGTCATTATCCAAGCAATTCCCTCTTTTAAAATAGTATGTAAATACTTTACGTAAAATATGCATCTACTTCTTCCATTGTGTAATCGCATCTCCTAGATATTTACTGAAAGCCAGTGATATGATATTACATGTATAATGTACAACTTGGAAATTGGTAAGATATTGATTGACTTATTATTAGTTTTATTTCTTATGTTGTTATTCCCAAAGTATTTCGTTTAAAGAGAAGGTTGAGTTCCGGGAAGAGGTGAAAAATAGTTTGTCAGCGTTATCATTGTTATTATGCAAGTGTGGAAAAACATCAGATGAAACATGTTCCCTGAAAAGCATGGCTCTTAAAATGTCCATATATTCGAAATATGGCGTGTAACATCATAACAATCGGGACGGATTTTTATGCCACGTGTTCGTGTAGTCCCATATACATATTTTTGTGTACAGTGCTTGTAACTTCACCGAGACTGGACTAAATTTGTTATCATTTTGATTCCAGAACCTTGCAGTACACACCAATACATATATGCTAGATTACCAACTTTTGTATTGATTCCACTATTTTTCTTTCACAATGCAATCGCACGACCAGAACTAAACTTTACCTTAAATGTTTGTGCTTATATTTCTTGACTTATATATTGTGATTATTTTGTATCTTTTTGGCTCTCACGGGTCATCCTGTGGGTCATCCTGTAAAGTTATTGGTACTATTATTTTGTTTCAATTTTACAATATCCTTTACAATATCATTTTACTCTTCATATGGATGTTACATTGAACTTGCCTAATACATCAAATTAAATTTAAAAAATCATGGGAGGACCCTGGTGCGATATTCCATCAAAAATTCCTTCGTATTCACTTTGCACTCTATCTGAAAAGCCATTAAATTGAAAGCTCCGGGAACTGATAATGTGATGTAGAGAATGATGTAGAGAAGAACAATGTATCAACACAGAATAGGCCAAGTTTAACAATCGGAAGTTCAGCTTCTTGACTAAAACATCCTAAGTACTTTATAAATATTATTATATCTTGGAAAATGTTTACTGTATTTCTGTAATGATATATAACGTCACTTTTTGCGTATTTTAAAATTGATTTCGGCAGTTTTTCTTTCCATAATAATTGCCGCTTTAATTAAATTCAGTTTAGTTAAATTATATTAAATTGGATTCAATCATACATATAATCTGATAACCATAAACAGTGGTTGGTCTGAAAACCAATCCAGACCTTCATTGTTTTCTTTTCAGTTTTTGTGTCATGATAATGTTCCTACATCTCCCTCCTAACAATGTTTGGTGCATGGATATGCAGTGACGCAATATGATTGACCAAACCCGAGGATAATGTTAAGCTTGATTTTGTTCCTCGTATGGTCTAAGTAACTTTGTTCGGTCAATTCTTATGGGGAAAATGGGGTGACTATTTCGGGACAGACTACTGTCTGTTTCAAACACAGTTGTGTGAAGTACCTTTAAAGGGAATCCAACCTGGAAATTAAACTACCGACTAGAGAAAAGCAGAAAAATCCGAAAAGTAGACTGGTGAAAGTTTGAATGAAATCGGACAGAATTGAGAAATTTATGAATTGTTTAGAGTTGTAATCACTATAAATATAGGCTGTTTAAACTGACTGAATCGGTAATGTCTCTGTGATGTAGTGGCGGACAACTTGCCCAATTTCTTCCAACACACACAAGTACTAACATTTCAAAAGGGAGAAGGCGCTTAGGCGAAAAACGGAAATATAATTATATTTGTGTACACGACAAACGGGACTGCGTCATTATGACCAATCCGCCAATTTGAGATCCACTTTTATACAAATGAACTTATTACAAGGGTTGGATTACCCTTTTACATATCGAAGTTTGTTTTTGTGTGTGTGTATTTTCCTCTATTGTCCTTTTTTTTCCTTAACTTAAAAAGTTATAGAAAGTATGTATACGCTTTAAATGTTGCCTATATATCACAATAACATGTTCATTTTATATATTTGTGGCAGATCTAGATTATACTTGTCTTATGTGATATTGACATCCATAAACTTAGTATTCTCGTGTTATTACTGCAAGCCTTTCCAAAATAAAATCACATGAATGTAAACTTTTCTGAGTATAAAAATGACTGATTCAATTTGTTTAATCGTTAATGAGATGATAAAAAAAATGTATAGATGAAGCGCTAGCTGACGTAGAATTTGGTAATATTGATCCTTCATAGGTTACACTTTGATCACGTGTTGCTGTCCATACGCTGTAAGATCTCTTTCCACGTTTCTTAGCATACCGTGTTATCTCACACTGTATGGAAAGCAAGATATCATCGCAGTTGGGTGTCCATACGCTGTAATATCGAAGCACATGTTTTTCAGATGATCTCTTCCTCCTCTCTATTTCTCTATTCATTCTCAGAGTTAGATTGATTCTGTCTGTTACTTTTCCTTTTTTCTTCTCTTGCATGCTCTTTTCTTTTGTCTTTCTTGCGAATTATCACTCATCGTCTCGATCATTGACTACTGTCCTCCTCTCTCCCTCTCTCTCTCTCTCTCTCTCTCTCCCTCATACCCACCTTCTTCCAATATAAATATGCTACACATGAAGACAAATCTACGGTTTAACTGTAGTTATAACAACCAATATAGACAGGTCAATGAAGTAACATTCAAGCATTGATGAAAAACAAATGTTCATACTAATATCCTGTTTTTGCAAGCTGTATATGGCTTTAAATGATAATTAGTATTGCTTTATCTGTTAAAAAAATAAACGAGTAATACATTTAAAAAGATGTGATACTACGCTACATAACTCATAAATATGTAAAATCTCAGTCGCACGGACGAGAGCAACACATGACCGACCCCAGACCGCATAAAATAAAAGTCACGTTATCCCGAATGTCAAAAAACAGATCGGTGTGGAGTCGGTTTGAGTCAGTCTCGTGGCATCATTGAGGTATTACTGGCTCTACAGAGAATACAAATGAGCAATTGAGCTCCTATTAATTAACCAGCATACAAACCAATTGTGGTATCTAATTCTTCCTTAACATATTCCGATCGTAACTTAATTCATAAGAAAATGGATATTGCACTTCTCAATTAGGCTGATTGCCATTCAAGTAAAATACAGCTAAACACATTTTAAATACCAGTACACGTGAAAGACTCCATGCATGGCTGATTGTCAATGAAACGGAGTTAGGTCTTTTGTCAATACTGCTTGTTGCTACGGCAGGCAGCCAGTGAAAACGAACTTTTAAAATTAAATTATGGAAATGCAAGCATCAAAATAAACTAACAGAACTTCGTTATTACTTGCTCATTTTCCCTGATTGAGGTGTCATACGAAAGAGCAGAAAATGAACTTTCTAGAAATATGATTTTGTTTGAAATTCGCCACCAAATGACTTTTTGGTTTCCTTCCTTCAAATTGCTGTTAATCACTCACGCGTGAAATATGCATTATATGAGTTGTATACAATGAAAGCTTTACAAATATGTGTCATTTATTAATTATAATTGTGATTAAGTTATGATATAATGTAATTTCCTATTGTATGTTACAAGATGCTTTGTATTCCTATACAAATGAAGATTAGGTTGTGTCACTATGAACATGACGGAAAAAAAGAGGACAAAATATACAGTTCCTCATTCTACCCTCAACAATTGCTGTGGTAGACAAAGGAACATCCTTCACTGCTATTATGTAAACATGTGTAGAACAGGTGTCACATGCATATTCAGCTGTTCTACACATGTTTACATAATAGCAGTGAAGGGATGTTCCTTTGTCTACCACAGCAATTGTTGAGGGTAGAATAAGGAACTGTATATTTGTCCTCTTTCTTTGCCCGTCATGTTCATAGTGTGTACGCATGTACATTACACGTACGTACAGAGTGAATGGTTTAGCCACTGACCGTTATCGCTTCGAGCTTCATGGCCACTTTAGTTTTGTAGTTTTTTATATAATGACTAGCAGGACCCGCGGAAATCCGCGGGATTCTAGAGGGGGGCGGGGGGGGGGGGTGTAAATAGATATATAGAGACTGTCTAAATTAAAACCACCAAGAACTTTATTTGCCATTCAGGCTATTAAAAAATATACATGTTTAGCGTCCCCGCCCGCTTCCTTTTTGGGGGCCGCCTCCTATTTTTTTTTTTTTTTTGAATTTGTTTTGAATTTTTTTTTTTTGAAAGAAAAAAAACATGAAAAGCACTGCTAAAATGTATTTCTGATTTAAAAAAAGAAAACAAAAAAATTGTCGGCCGCCATCTTGAAAAATAGCCCCAATGTCAGGGAAAATGTACGGAGCGGCCATTTTGAAAAAAAAAAAAAGGGGGCCTCTTCCTTCCCATTTTTCGAAAAAACAGGACGCTATAAGCATGTTTTTTTTTTAATTTGGCCTTATATTCAATAAAATAAAAAAATCCAACTGTACCGGTAGTTATTCTTTAAGCCACTGGAACTGCGTAGAGTTCCGTAGTGTGGGGTACCGACTACGCAGAAATTAGGCTGCGTATTAATGGAAAATAGTCCCTGCGTAGGTTATGCGTAGGCTGGCCTACAGGTTTGCTTATGGTTGCTTACTGTGTGGAAAGCTTTTACTGCTTTATCGATCTGGCGTAGGGTAGCGTACTGTTGCGTAGGCATGTAGCGTAGTGTTGCGTAAAAAGGCGTACTTTCTGCGTCAAGTTGCTACGCCGAAAGTACGCGAAAAAAATTAAACATGTTGAATTGTTTTCGTTCATCTTGCGTACCCCTTTCCGTCCCTCAGCATATAGTAACGTAGGCCAGCGTAGTTGGTACGCAACACTTCGCAACTCTACGTATTGACCCCACGCCAATTAGTGACCCGCAAGTGTCACAAATAAAGTATTAAAAATATGCTCATCTGACCCTTATTAAACGCCTAAAACCCCCGAGCTTTCGGGGGTTTATGGCCCCTTGAAACCCCTGGACCCCACGCCTATATTATATATACACTCAACTCAGGACCCGCGGAAATTCGCGGGATTCTAGAGGGGGGCGCAGGCAAAAAATTAAGTTTTTCATTTCGGGGGCTCCATTTCAAATTTTTGGGAAATTTTCGGGGGCTACTTTTTCAACTTTCGGGGGCTCTTTTTTCTGGGGCTACTTTTTCAATAATTCATAAAAGGATAGGCCTACACTTTGTTGAGATTTGTTTAGTAGGCTAAGGTTTCAGGCTTCCTACTTCATAATTGCCTATTTAAAAAAAAAAAAAATTCTAGTTCAATAACTAAGTTTTCATGCATTGATTTGATGCAAGAACTGTAACATAATAGACCCTAGATTGTGATTATTTCTGACCATGAATTTCGATAATCATTTTTCAAAGTAAAATTTTCACAAGAAAATCAGACAGTCGTTTCTTTTTTCTGGGGATACTTTTTCAT